GTCATAATCGCTGTGTTTCGATCAGAAATAAGTTGATAAAATCAAAACAATGTAAACTTTTGAAACATAATTTTTTTCAAAACTAACAATTGTCGATAATGCGAAAACCGTCATACACTGTTGATATGTTGAATTGTTATCGAATGTTCCTTGTGTGTCCATCTGAAGAGCATTTGATTTCAAAAGGAACTTTTTGTATGACTTGGAGTCTAGCATTATGGAATTGAAAAATCTAGTTTCCACGATAGCCACACTTTGAAACATTAAACAATTGAAAACTGGACTTTTAGGTTAAGTATTCGTAGACTGAAACTGTCATTTTTCCAATAGAAAATTAATTCATATCAAGAAAGAAACCAGTTTTCAAAAGCATGGCCTGGAAATTTGAGCTTCTAGACCACCTGCTATTTTTGACGTTTAAAAAACAACACATTCTTCAGCTGCCGGTTGTCTGTACCCAACAATAAACAACGTTGAGCTCAAAGGTTTTTTAAAAGAATATTTGAAACATAAACAAAAAAAATCCGATAACTAAAAGAGATACAAACTGGATATTATTTTTTCAATGTTCTGAAACTGTAACTTGACATAATTATAGATTCTTTGGAACAAACAGCATAGAAAAGTATTCAGCTAAATTGAAGCTTTCAAAAACTGTCAAATAATTCAAGGTACCAATAAAACAGCGAACATTTCTCCCGTCACCGATTCGATCATTATTGGTTCACCCCATAGCCAGATTCCTGGAAAAAGTATAATTTTGACCTCAAATATTTCGAGTGAAAGAAGTGCTGAAGCACTGTGTGAACACAGGTGATTCGCGAACAATCCGTTACGGACGCTCAGCGTTCGCGCGCGGCTGAAATAGGAACCGTATACGGACCGCACGCTACCCGCTTTCATAAAACCACAGCACGTCATTTCGTATTTCTCCATATTCTATCCCTCTGCCATCTCCGTATCCGATCCCGACACTCCTTCAAAAGATTCGTCCGCTTTTTTTACCGCCAGACGGGTCCCTCTTTTGACGTTCCGCCAGATGACAGTACCCTCGAATCGTATAAACATAACCGTGAGCATGGAAAAAAAGATCATACAACTTCCAAATTCTTAAAATTCCAGAGAACCACACATTTTCGATAGTACCTTTTCTGTTATCGACAGCATTTTAGTTTTTACAGATAACTGCCGCGGAACATTTTAAATAAGTTAAACTTCTTTAATCTCTTAATAATGAAACAGTAGAAAAGTATGAAGTTATGAACACTTAAAAAGAATGTGAAATTTCAAATTATTTGGCTGATTGTTTAGAAATTGAAATGCTGGAGTTTTCAAGAGTTTAATATGCGTTTTTTTCTTATAAGAGCCGAGATAATTGAACTTTTATGGAACTTGATTTTTTTAATATTTTTTTTACTGCAATCTAATCCGAAAACTTTTATCTTTTATGAGATTCGTCATGAAAAATTCTAATGAGATCTTCAATTTTATACAGTTTCATCTAATCAATCAGTTGAAGCACAAATCGTCTGAAGCAATTCGTATTCCGTCTGAATCAATTCAAACTCCGATTGTAACGCCCCGAACTACAGTATCCAATGTGCTGGATCTAACGATCTTCGTCCTGGTGACTCATTCCGTTTTTAATATAATTGAGGGCTCTAAAGCATTCTTTCTATCATATTTTGATTATTCTAATTGCTTTTGTAATGTTAAGCTCCGCCCTTTTGACTTGGTATAAAAGCCCTCTCAATTGTATGATCTGGGAGCGTTTCAAAACTCAATAAAAGTCTAAAATGTGATTATCCGAAAGTTTCAAAAAATTAAGCATCAAAAAGTTCGAATTCGGTATACTTTTGTAATTGTTCAAACTTTTGCTAGTCAAATTTATCTGTATTTTCGAAAGTAGCATCTTCAATTTTGCACAAGCATGTTATTATTAAAACTAAAAATTTGATACTGAAATTTACAAGAGTGCTGAGTCAGTAAAATATAAAATTAGGTAGACAATTTAGTAGAAAATCAATGGATGATATTAAAGGAGTTCAATGCAGCATGTGTCATATTTATTTCGGCTCCTCATTTTCTCCTCTTGACGGTCGTAGTTTTCTTCAAATCAACTTCAGCCTCCATCTTCCTCTTCTTTGGTCCATTTTTCTTGAATTCTCCATCTGTCCGGACATTCTCCTTCTTGCCAACCAACCCACTGCAATTCCAGCTTCCACATTTGCATTCGATGTTACAGGAACTGAAAATAATCAATCTTAATTAATTGCCAAATTAACCAATCAAACTCACTCATCTCTTGAAAAGCTATAATTGAAGGTCAGCTCATCTACCTCCCTTATATCTTTGATAGCAATGAAAGCAATGAAATTCAAGTTGTTGGGCATAGCGTGGAGCTTCCACTTCTCAGCAATGAGATTGGGGTCGCAAGAATGGTTCACATACTTTGCCTGATTCCCAGAGATCGTACGTCGATCGTATGATTCCCAGAATCCAAGACGTAAGCGTCCATCATCTTGGCTCCATAGATCTCGAATCTCCTCCTCTTTTCCTCCTCGGAAATATATTCTCCAGTAAACGGGATCACGAAATCTCCAGTTTGGATGAACTTTGTGGCGTACAGCCCTCTGCCTTTTCCTCTTGTCTCTCTAATTTCCACGCTAGGCTTGGTTGGCTCTGGTTCCTTGCCATTTTTGGATTTCTTGTTCTTTCCAATGCCATAACCTCGGAACTTCTGATTTTGGCACCCATACATCTTGTTGGAGGAGCAGGTCTCCGGACATTCCTTGCGTTCACAAACATTGGGACAGCTGTCATCAGAGCATTCGCATTCTTGGTCGCATCTGGAAATGTAAAATGTTAAAAATCAAATTTGGAAATCCGCAAAGTTGGGTTCAATCGCACATGGGGTTTTATAGTTTTTTAAAAAGAGTTTTAATTGGTATTTTTGCTTCTAAACGTTTAAAGAAATGCTAAACTTCTTCATGTAAAAACTGAAAAAAATCAAATTTTAAGGAAAAAAGTTCAGTTCGATTTCTCAAACTTTTTGAAAAGGTTTTTTCTATTCTCGCAAGTTTAAATTTGTTATAACTTACATTTTAAACTTGAACTTTGAGCTCAACTATTTCGATACCTATGAAATATATAAAAAACTTGTCAACTGATAACATATTAAGGGTATTATGATAAACAGTTTATCAGTTGACAAAATTATGATTGCTTTCACACGAATCCAGATAGTTGATCTCAAGGTTGACGATATGGATAGGCTTCTATTTAAAAAAGTACAGTATGTTAGAACTTACCTTTTGAATTTGTTCTTGGATTCCAAAGTGCAGGACTTGTGGATTTTGACGATAGCGAGTTGCTTAGACATAGTTAAATTAGGTATAAAACAGAAAATATGAGCTGATAGCAAATACAAAATAAGACGAATGAATGACACTTATGTTACGTATCCCCCAGTAGCCCAGATATGCTCCGCCTCCGATGTCCCGCCCCCGAGAGTTGGAGCAGGAGGATGGCAATAAAAGGGTATACGATAAGAGTATACTTGAAGTATGATGACAAATGGCATGGGATACCGTACACTTATTTTTACTGTTCCATTGTCAGCGTTTCAGGGAAACGAGTTTAAGTCGTCATTGTACTTGGAAAACAGTTGTATAGAGATGTGCAAAACTACAAAAGTAGTGTTCTAGATACAGTTTATAGTTTCGGAAATTTTCAGACCAATCGGAGAAGTACTAAATGATTTTTCACAAAAATTCAAAATTTTCAGCTAAAACCCCATTTTTTACAACGGGTTGTTTTTTTCAGCAAGAATAACAAAAGTTTGGGAACAAAGCGTTACCTTTTCAGATTAAAACTAAATTTTATAAACTAACGTATGGGTTTAATAATATCAAAAAACTGAGAAAGTACTTCACAGGTAAAATGTGAACGGATCCCCCGGTTACCGGACGCTCAGCGTTCGCGCGCGGTTGAAATAGGAACCGCATACCAACCGCACGCGACCCGTTTTCAGAAAACCACAGCACATTAGTCCGTTCGCGAACTCCGTATCCGATCCGCTTGCGAATGATGGACAAACGGATCCGTT